CCATTGTTTTTGCTTTATTTTAAAACAGTGCATTTTGATTATTTTTAGCTTTTGTATTGTTTATGCTTGTACTGCATTGGTATAATATATGTTTTTAGTTATAAAAAAAAATTGAGTTTTTGTCACTTCACATTAGTTTTAATTTAAATTTACTCAGTATATTAAAACTGTGAAAAGATTTGGAACCATGAATTTGTTTCTTAGAAATGATTCCAACAATTCATAGTAAATCAAATAAAATAGCAAAAAAATTTTAATAGTAATAAATTGTTAGAATAAAAGTATTTTTTCGTCCAATTGTCATCAAAAAATATACTTTTTTTTTTTTCATTTCCTTCAATCTCTAATAAAAAATGTATGTTGATGTTGTTTCTAATGCCACCTGTCTGACGTAGTCAGAGTATTTTAAAAAATTTTCCTTTTTTATCCCCCCCCTTTATTTCTTCGTCATTTTTTGGCAGAAAATGGCACATATACATTATCGAGGCCCACGAAATTCATCGTGGCAAGCATCTTTATAGTGAGACGTTAAGTACTCACAGCCCCCATTTTGGGGCTTGTCACTTCCAGGAAGTACGCCAGGTCGTTGGCCTTGAGCACCATACAGGTGACAGTACGATTTAGCTCGGCGAAATTCCCCGAAGGGACGATAGATGGCGACACCACCTATCTCCGCCTCCACAATTTCTGCATTGAACTGAAGGGGAGAGAAATATTCTCCAGTCCCTGCGCTCGTGACTCAGCCCACAAAACTTTGGACCCACTAATTTAAAGAGCACGTACTCCGTGTGTGCTCGGAGGGAATTTGGTGGCATCGGGCATCGAACCCAGGCTTTCCGGTCTGGAGTCCGATTCTGTAACCACTAGGCTACCCATGGCCCAAAAATAAATGATTTAACAACAAACATCTATGCACTAATAAACAGACTATCTAGAATTATTTTTTGTTCGGATTTTTAGCAGAATACAAATGCATTTAGGTTCAAGGTGTTTTGTGTGGTATCATTTATTTGAAATATATAGTAACACACATATTTTTTTAGAAATAACTTTTCGAAAGGAGACTGCAAACGGAAGTATTATGATGCTAAAAAAAAGCTATAAACACGACTCGAAATTACTTTTGTAGAGCAAGTAACTGATTCATTGATAATTTTAATCTGTTCTTCAAACAAAGCGAAAGAACAGAGAAAAACGTCTTTCCAGTATCTGACATCTTAAAACAACGGATGTTGTTTTCCTTGCAGCATTGCTTCCTTGCGGGAAATTGAGTTTTACAGGGAAAATTCGCTTCCCAACATGAACTTAAAAAATAAGAATATGGCAACACTTGGAGATACGACCAGGGTTATCGGATTGGCGACTTTTTCGTTCTTAATGAAAATTTGGTGAAAAATACGATATCATCAAGGAACCATCGAGAAGTCTCCGGGATCGACCCTTCTGGAAATTATCATGATGCATATGGGGGACCATTGAGACAAAGATCGAGTCTGTTGAAACAAAAATCCGTTTGTGCATTGACTGTTATAAGAAAGAGACTTATCTAATGGAACTTTACTAGAGAGCCCTTTTTGGAGCACTGTAAAATTTGCTTGTAACAACTGCGCTTTTTAGGTACTGTAAATAACCTATAATGATATTTCTTTGTGTATACAAGTTGATTTGTCTCCATGTAGTCAACGGTTCGTTCTCTTGTCCATTTATCTATTATTTTTCATATCATTGGAGTCGTAGGTTGCTTTTTCCCACACACAAATTTGCAAAAATATTTAGTTCCTACACATTAAGCTTCGAATTGTAATCACACTATATGCATACTTTCGCTATTCTACACAACACATGTTGCCTCTAATTAAACCTCATATTTTTCGGGAAAAAATCAACTGCATAGTTTTAAAATTAATAAAAAATATGATAGCTCCGCATAAAACAAAACTTCGCCAAGCCTGTCAAAATTATCGAAAATAAAAAGTAAAATCTTTCTCGTTAAATATTATTTTAATTCAATTTTCATGTGAGCGTTAGGATCAAATAAATATTTGAGACGAGATGTTTTTTTCCCTTCTTCCTTTTTTAACGATAATAATATTTTTTTTCTGAAAAGAATGCGAAAAGAAGAAACATTTCCAAAGCCATTTCGCTGCTGTCTTCGGAACCGTCAGGTGGGGGCAGTAAATGGAGACGACATATAAAGAACCGTCGAATGGCAACCGCTTTTATTTCGCTTCGGGGCGAAAAAAGTAAAACAACAAATGCTAAAAATGGAAGATCGAATCAATTTCCAAGGCAAGGAAAAGTCCTTTAATGTCGCGTTTCATCAGGAGTAAAAGTTTCTTTCATTCGAAACATTCTATCCGTTTTTCGTTCCTCTTTTTTTCTACTGAAGATGTGTGGAGAGAAAAAATTGAGATGGAAGAAAGATGTGGTTCTTAGAAAAAGTGAAATAAGTCTCGATTTTTTTTCCTGCTGATAAATAACATCGCAAATAAAAAATAATTATAATGAAAACGGATATTTTAAGTATTTCTTTTGGTTAATAAAACAATCCGATGAGGATTTTTATGGTTCTGTTGAAATAAAAAAAATAATTACGAGTTTTTTATGGCATATTCTTTGCTTTATAGCGTAGATTATGTTCGGAAGAAATTTTGATTGCAAGATTTTGATCATTAAGTTCATTATGCTGCACAAATGAATTAATTGCTGTGTAAAAACAAATCAATTTATTTGGTTCTAATAAATACCAAAGTTAAATAAATTACATTGTACATACACTGGTATACAAAAATTAAGGATGAGGCGGTGCTTGTAGTGAAATTTTATACAAAGTGTTCCAAGTGAATGCTTGTTTATTAACTTCACGCTATAAGGCCGCATTCACACCAAGGCTGTTGAGCGTTAAGCGTCTAGCCAACCAGAGGCTTCATCTCGGGCGAGATGAAGTCTCTGATTGGCTCGACGCTCAACGCTCGACGCCGACAGCCTTGGTGTGAATGCAGCTTACGACAACAAGAGAGCTACTGGCGATAACTCTCAAATTCTGAGCTACGGTTAATTGACGCAACGACACCCGAAACCTGGCACTTGCCTCTTTCCAAACTACACTGAAGTGCAAAAATTAAGGACGAGACAGTTTTTTCAATATAACTTTGTACAAAAGCTTTCCAAATCAACCCATTTAATACCGTAAGATCCCCAATACGTAAGGACATGTGTAATGTAAGCAACACTTACTAAAAGAGAAATAAGAGGGATAAAAAGAAGCTTGATTGAAAAAGTAGCATGGAGCGCAATGCGACTGAAGGCCGAAACATCCCTGTGATGGGTGTCCAGCAAGAAACATCCGGTCTTTAGTAGGGGATATGATCTCCCCTGACTGCTAGGCAGGTTTCACAGCGTCTGCCCATGCTGAGAAGGAGGGTGTCAATGAGTTGTTGAGGCATTGCTGCCCATTCGTCTTGCAGCGCCCATCGAAGCTCCCGAATCGTTACTGGTGGTAAGGTACGAGCTGCCAAGCGTCTGCCTAGAAAATCCCATACATGCTCGATGGGATTGAGATCCGGAGATCGTGCCGGCCAATCCATACGTTCAATATCCTCACTCTCTAAGAGCTGTTCGGCAGCTACTGTGCGATGACATGGTGCATTGTCGTCCATGAAAAGGAACTGCAGACCCATAGCGCCTCTAAAAAGACGCACATATGGAAGAAGAATCTCGTTACAATAACGGGTCCCGTTGACTGAACCTGCGTCGAAGATGTGAAGGTCTGTACGACTACCAAGCATGATGCCTCCCCAAACGAGAACACCGCGACCTCCATACCTGTCCCTTTCAATGATGTTCGAGGGATGATTGCGGCTTCCCCGCTCTCTCCAGATGAGTATGCGATGAGAATCGCTACTCAAACTGAATCTGCTCTCATCCATCTGTAAAGAGTACTCGTCCCCATTCATTGTCTCTCCAATTCCGGTGTTCCCGGCACCACAGAGAACGCCTTCTCCGATGGGCAGGCGTTAAAGGTACACACCGTACAGGGCGTCGTGCAAACAGACCACCACCGTGCAGTCTTCTGGCGACGGTAAAACGCGATATCGGTCGTCCAGTCGCCTGTGTCGTGTGTCTAGCGATTTCTCCCGCTGTCTGCCGCCTGTTTCTTCTGGCCTGTAAGACAATGTACCGGTCATCTGCGGGTGTGGTTCCTCGTGGACGTCCACTACTGAACCCCCGGATAGCTGTTCCTGTAGTTTGAAATTGTCTCCAAAGTCGTGAAACGATTCTGTGAGCAATTCCGAACTCTGCAGCCACACTTGTCACACTGCGGCCTTCCTCCAACTTCCCAATGATTCGACCTCGGGTAAAAGCTTCCAGATGTCGTCTAACAGATTGATTATTCGCCATTTCTCGCTGAGGCAGCAACTCGATGTGATTTTAACTGCTATACGGCGTGCAATCTCTTTGCCAGAAATACTGATCTTACACCGACAACATGCTTTATACTACTCAGATGTCTACCTGCATATCTGCGCATGTGCTACCGTACATCACCTTGCTTAATCTCCTGGTTGGTCTTTTGTCCGCTCTGCCTCTTCGTTCAGCTGATATGCTAATTTTTCGACTTCGTCCTTAATTTTTGCACACCAGTGTACTTTACCACTCTAAAAAAAGTGATCCAAACGAAAACAAATAATACCATAAGATCCCTGAGAGAACAGGAAAAAAGTTTTTTAAAAAATTCCAAAAACAGAAATCCGAGTGATAGAATGGACTTAATAGAAAATGAAATATTATTGTTGTTGTCGTGTGTTTCAAACTGGGATACATACGAAAAACGAGAGATAGATGTACAGAAACATGCAACACAAACATAGAAGAATATAGACTTTTTTAATTGCAAACGATGATCCCAGCATAAAGCAGAAGAGGTGCGTTGCTTTCCATTCGAGACAGGAATCCATTTCAGGTGAAAGTCCGACTTTTTTTCCCCGAAGATACATCCATGCCTTACTCGGGATTCGAACCCGAACCCACTTAATTACAAGTCGAGTATCATAACCACCATTCAAGGTAGGGCGGCTGAAAGTGAGTTTCAAGCTCAAACATTCCAGCAAAACGTGCGTGTGATAAGTGATACACTGAATGGAGTACTTTAATAGAGGATATTAACACTCTTCATTATGCTGTGTAGTTTTTGCACCATACATATAAGTTTTCTTACAAAGTTGTTAACTATTTATTCAGGGCGCAGCTGCCAATTCTACATTAGTGTGAATCGCAACTCTTGGATCATTGCTGACGACTGGTAAGGTACTGCGAAGCATTTTTCCAAAATACTTTATACATGTTCCATTGTACTCTACAGTTCGTTTCGAATCATTACACACAATCATGACAATCATCTAATAAATGCAATCACGAGTTCTCCACTGAATTTAAAATTGACACTGGATGTTGAATAAAGAAATTAAGGTAAAATTTCATATTTGTGATAATTTGGTAAATATATGATCAAGTATTAAGATTCTTAAATAAGTTCTTTCAGAATTAAAAAGAAATATTATACGCGTCTTCAGAATCAATTTTATTTTGTTTACCTATCTACGTTGTTATTGCTGATAAAAAAATATGTACCTTTTAAAAGAAAGTTTCTGCAAAAAGCAAAAATTGTGCAACAGTGAAAAGCATGAACTGATTTGGCTGTGCAGCGGTGTGATATCTATATGAACTAGTACCAACATCACGCGAAGACGATCGTCTTGGCGTGATCGGTAAAGTACGCGCATTCGCGTTCGGAACGGAAGGTATCCAGAACGAATCTTCCTTCCTTCATTGGTGACCCTGGACGTGATCTGAACCGCACCCTTCACGCGACGCTGTCGTGGCGCCATCTATCCACCGAAAAAGCAACTAAACCATCACACGAATGACGCAATTCTCAAGCCGTCTCACACAAATGACGCAATTCTCAAGCCGTCTCACACAAATGACGCAATTCTCAAACCGTCACACAAATAACGCAATTCTCAAGCCATCACGCACGAATGACGCAACCTACCAAGTGACGCAACTGCTTACATACTCGCCACGAATATGGTATCGTTCGTTCGCCTATTCGCCGAAACACTGGCAGAGGAGTATGTGGCGGTGTGATATCTATATGAACTAGTACTAACATCACGCGAAGACGATCGTTTTGGCATGATCGGTTAAGTACTCGCATTCGTTCGGAACGGAAGGTACCCAGAAAGAACCTTCTTTCCTTCAGCTGTATGCACATGATAGCCCGCCCACATCATGTGACTGTGACGACACGGGACTTCATGAACTGATTGGCTGGACACAAGTGACTGAAGTTATGTGATTATGATGTCACATGAATTTACGCAATGCCAAGGTTTTTAATTCCTTACTTTGGTACGATATGATTCATCCAAATTAAGTGTAAATTTTTTTAATCAGTTGTATTTCGAAATATCGAGATATATCAGCTATTTTAATGTATCCGACTACGTTCGGAACCGTGATTTTAAAAAGGCGCATAAATGGATAATTTTCATTATATTTAGTGTCACTTAGATTATAATATATGTATTAAAATTGTTTTAAAGACATTTTGACAAAAAAATTTATTTAAATACAATATTTCGGCAAAAAATAACCTTAGAATAACCTCTTTTCAAAATGTTCTCCTTTTGTGAAAAAGGCTTCTATTATAATAATATTTTACCTATATATAACTCAGACCTCTGTACAGAGGCTCAACTATGATTTTTGAAAAATTCATATTATTTTCAGAGTTACAATTAAATTAAATAATTATCGGCGTTTTTTTCATAAAAATTCTCCCCTCTATTGTCGTAAAACATGGATAAACCTTTTTCTAAGTTATACATGTCAAAAATTCTAGTTGAGCCTCTGTTCAGATGTCTGAGCTATAGACAGCCAAAATATTATTATAATAGAAGCATTTTTCACAAAAGGAGAATATTTTGAAAATGGGTCATTGTATGTTCATTTTTTGTCAAAATATTATCCTTAAATAATTTTTATTGTAATAGAGTATTCTTAAAACAATTCTATATACATTTTCTAATCTAAGTGACACTAAATATAAATATTATCCAATTATACGCTTTTGAAAAATCACGGTTCCGAACGTAGTCGGATACCTTCAGCGAATCCTAAATCGAGGAAGGCTAAAATATTTGTCGTACTCAAATTAAAGCCAATTACGGGTTCGTACCAACTTGAAAAAAATATTTTCTCGTAGTTGAAGAAACGCTGACTCAATCAATCAACTGAATGATATTTCAAATATTTAAGAAATGGGTTCTGTAATTTTCACATCGCGTTTGAACTAACTTGATAATTTACCGTCATTTCTAGAGTTCGTGAACAAGCCTACTTCTCTTCCAACTTTGAAATCCAATCATTCTCTGGAGATTTCAGGCATTCCTATATATAAATATATATCCATTTCATTTTCTCGCTCTTTTAAAAAAGAACCCTAAAGAGGAAAAAAAATGAGCCATAAAAACAAGGCCCTCACGTGACAGGCATGCCGTTAGGGAAAGAACCAGCACCCCTGTGCAAAAGCTAAGAACTACGAACAACGCGTCGATTTTATTTCCCGGTTAATATTCCCAGCAGAGAAGGTTGTATGAAATATCGAGTGGTAATCAATATCCTCTTACGAAAAGGGAAAAAAAGATACAGATTGAGATAGAAAGAGTACCTCTGAGTTTAATGGATCCCGATTTGCATCTGATTGTTTTTATTTCGAAGCAGATATTGTTATTTGCGATTCATCCCTAAAGAAGTTCGGATAGGGGAAAAAATGGAAATATTTTATCTAGTGATGGAAGGAAGTTTTTTAGTTTGACGCGGATACTTTTCTAGCCAGCGGCGCCAGTAAATACGGCGACAATTTGCAAGAAAGAGAAATATATGCTAAGAGGAAGAAAAAAAGTTTCTTCGCAAAAGAAGTATCTTATTTATATGAAAATAAGCGGAGGAAGAACACTTCGTTTTTATTCGGAAATCCTCTGGGATGATTCCTAGTCTAGGTCTTTACCGGATCGCATAGATGCATAAAGAACATTCGAATACATCTCCATTCTCACTAACAATTCCAGCTGGATTTCAAAATGACTCCTGCTCGTTCAAGATGCAAATTTCGTATATTATATATGCGAGGGACAGTCAAAAAGTAAATACACTTTGGCGATTTCTCTTTCCAAGATTTGGCAACAGCGCAGAATGAGGGGTAGTCGGCAACACTTCTGTACAACGTGTCACTCGTAGTCGTTGGGGTGTAGCAAGCCGTTCGACATGGTAGCTCCGTAATCGATCTGCACCAAAGAGGAAAGGAGAGAGGGTAGAGATTCACTTTTTGTTTGCGGAAGGTGGGATACCTGCGTTGGATACTAGCCATCCCTTCCATAACCCTCAACAACTTGCACAGCGTCTTTAGTGGTTGACGTCGGTGAACTGTCCCATCTTTCGTCGTCACATAAAGGAAGTTCTTTCCTGTGCGAAGCGTTCTATCCATTTGTAGATCTTACCTCACGATAAACAGCTGTCACCATACTGCCCTTACATGCGACGAATAATTTCTGCAGGTTTTACACCTTCCGCTAACGAAAAGCGAATCACTGTCCCTTTTCCTCTTTCCTCATTGGTGGAGATCGACAAAGGAGCTGCTTTGTTGAACAGTCTAAGAGGCCCACCGGTCTACGGTCTTTGACCAATGACTATGAGGGAAGATGAGTTACACGTTGAATTGAAGTGTTGCCGACTACCCCTCATTCTGCGCTGGGTACTAACGCTGTTACCAAAACTTGAAAAGAATAATTGCAAAAGTCGCTTCACTCTTTAACTTTCCCATTTATTTTGTAGAAATGCGACTCACACACTCATTACGAGATCTCCGAAGCTATTAGACCAACAAACTTGAAATTTGGTTGGCATATTTCTTTTGTTGAGTAGAGATCCGCAAAGAACGAAATATCATCTCCCACAGCTACGTAAAAAATAATATTTATACATTTAACTTAGACAATATATTCATATGTGGACTGTCAGACGAACCAGGGAAATACCAGGGGGATTCAACTTTATTTGATATTACAATTTTATTTGCTAAATCGTTCTTTGCATGAGTCTAATTTGTAGTTCAGATTAAAAATTTTCATAAATATAATTAAATTTTGTCACCATAAAATTTTTTTCTTTCCATTTCGATTGTAATATGTGTTAGTATATAACAATCTAAAGAACGGGTATACATACTAGTGTATACATATAGGGTGATTCACAAAGAAGTATACAATTTTCTAACGCTGGAAAAAAAGTAAAAGTCAAAAATATGGACCATCTCAGCGAACCGTAAGTTTACGTAACCGTAAGTTAGACGTAAGTTTAAAGTTTGTGCCTCGCCTCTAACGGGAATGATACACGCAATAGCCTCAGTGCAACACATGTAAGATTATTTTAAGATAAATGGGTAGAAAGTATGCGTTTGGCACTTTCTTTTTACACGAGCAGTCACTGGAGTCTCCTTCCCCTTTTTTGGATATGTTTACTCTTTGGTTGATGCCATTGTAGCAGGAAAACATTGAGAGCTTCTTTCTCCAATAGGACGGTGAACGACCTCACTGGTCGGTCTACATGTGAGATTACCTCGATGAACATCTCCCTCATCGATAGATTGGACGAGCCGCGGACTACAGCATGCCATACACTTAATAAGCACCCAAACGTTCCGACTTAACACCTTATGATATCTTTCTGCGGATCACGTAAGGGACAATGTAACAAGGTATACTTCCCACCTCTTTCCATTGATTTAGCGGAGCTGAAACAGTGTATCAAGTCGATTCGATGGACTTGATTCAGATACCTTAACATGCGATTAGCCGTAAATGGGTACTACCTAGATTTGTCTCATGTGACTAAGGGTCCCATTTATTTGTTTGGAGAAAAAGAAATCCATTATTTTATTCGGTGGATAACTGTAGTATCGATATCTCGTAAAGTATCGATCAAACAATTTCACACTTATGTTCGTTGTCT